ACTGAACCCGTACGAATTTGTAGGAATTAGCCTCTAAACTGACAAAACGTAAAATAGTTACGTTTTCTCGTAAGATCAGGCTGGGTCTGACACATCTTGCGATTTTTCCACTTTTGACCTTTTCCTGATAATGATGCATGGTATTATACTGGTACATATAAATTTTAAAACGATTCAATATCATAATTTTGCTTAATTTGGTTTTCTCACATAGCAATATGATCCTTTAGCACTGTTTACATCTGGTATTAAGAAACATTTTCATTAGTCTGATCATAAGTGGATAATGGTAGATAAATACAGGTGTAAACAGGGTCAGATCAACGCTATCTCACGGCAATTTGTAACTTTTTGATTTAGTGGCTGATTTGTATGAATTCATATGATTTAATTCGTACAATTTAGTACAATTTGTTTATGAAGATTGGGTTTAGGTGGGGGGTGCCATGCCTCCTTTTAAAAATCATACATTTTCATACGACTGAACTTGTACAAATTCATATAAATTAGCCACTAAACTGACAAAATGTAAAATAGTTATGTTTCCTCATGAGATCAGGCATGGTCTGACACATCTTGCGATTTTCCACTTTCGACCTCTTCCTGAAAGAGATGTGTGATATTCTATTGTTCATATTATTTTTCAAATGATTTGATATCATAATTTTACTTAGTTTTGTATTTCTCACATCGCAATTCTAAAGTTTGCCAGTAGGTGCTTCACAATTTGCTGCTGAAACCAGTAAACTTTATAACAGAATAATGTGACGGATCATTAAAAGGATCAAACTCCATTAATGTGCCTGAATTAGCATCCTGTACTAAGGTATTACATTCAGGTATCGTACCGTATCCAAAATTATGGTAACGAGCCAACCCTACTTCCAAAGTTATACTGCCAATACATGTCATTAAATTTAGTAGTTTAAACTAAAACTAAATCTTATTACCAGGTGCAAATAAGGCAATGGTTCTGAATTTATTCATGTCAATTCTAAACAAAGAAAAATACTTACAACTGAATTTCAGGTCAGATATGAACAAACCCCTCTTTTGGAATAAAAATTGTATTTACAATAATTTAAAAATGTAACCAAACTATGTAACCATGGAATGATCAAACTGTCTGTTTTTATTGGACATTTTTAATAGCAGTTGTCTAGACCAGTGGTTTCCAATTCCGGTCCAACACCTAAACCACCCCCGCAAATGTTGTATGTCACAACATTATTTGACATGCAAGGATCTCACAAGAAAACTTAGCTATTTTATGTTTTTTTCAGTTTGGTGGCTAATTCTTTTATTCAATTAAAATGTGGCATGGAACCAAACCTCACCCCTACACCCACCCTCAATAGAGGATGAGCAAACAGTACTAAACTGAATTAATGAGATCATACAAATTACCCACTATATGAAGTTACGAATTGCTTATAGCCAATGCAGATAGCATTGGTTAACGAGATAATGATCTGAAACTGGTGTGTGAAGTTTGAAGGAGTGGAGCACAATTGGGAACCCCTGGTCTAGACAAGCATTCAGTCTTAGCTTCAGGCAAAGCCTATACATGTGATACAACCACAATATACTGTACAGTAAAAGCAGATATCCATAGAATGACACATTAAAGTTGATATCAGTAGCAGACATCAGATATGAAAGCACACATGCACTGTTATAGTCTGACCTTTATACTTCAGTTGAATTGTAAACATACTGTATGGTCAAACATACTTTACATGTATGCAGTAGCCTTTCCTCGAACATCACTTACTTAGAAGATGTTGTTTGTTAAAGCGGCAAGAATTGAAAGCTGTCTATTTCACGTCAAATTTGGACTTTTCAGTTTAAATTACAAGAGCTAAGTCGCCCTGCCCACAGTCCTACACAGTCTGTTTGCGCCCGCTCACTCTTTTAGCAGTGCACTGACGCATCTTTCCTATTCATTTGCTGTAAGTACTGTGTACTTTACAGCTTTACACAAAAAGAAGTGGAAAATTACAATCTAATGGCAAAATCAAATTAAAAAAATGTACGGAATATAAAGAGATCTATTCAAAGTTGGCTAAATTTCACATTTGGAGGACTCTGTATGTTTATAAACAGAGAATAAAGCTGCGGTGACACTGGGATTTTCCTCCCACAGACTTCCTTTCATAAGCAGGCAAATGCGTCAGACTGGAAACGCATGGTCATAAGTTAAGTTTCGCATCACTTGACTACGTGAGACCAATTGAGGATCAAAACATGACCTCTCTGGACAGAAATGTAAAAGATGGAGCAATCGCTCGCTTTTTTAAATGTCTATTAAGCTTGTTTAATCCGGCCCCTTTTCGCAGCGCCGCACGACAGAATATTGCACACAAAAACTCTAGTGTGAGCTTTAAGAGACCAACTCGTGATTTGCTGTGCTTTTTGAGAGTGGGCGAGGCTAAAGATATGTGACTCTTTGATTGGTGTAATTTCCACACAGCATCATGGATAATGGATTGATGGATGCAATTTTTCCAAACTAATTAAACATGGCATTTCAAAGTTGCTTCAACCTTTGTTGTGGTTTTTAAAGATTGATCAATTGTTATTAAAAATTGGTTTACCTATGGAGAAATTGAACGGACTTTTAACTTCAGAACTCAACTATTTTGTTCTACACTTCATGTATACAACACAAATCCACATTACACACTAGATACACTATGTTGGCTAAATCTTTTGGACACCCCTCCAAATTATCAAATTCTGGTCTTTCTCTCTTTTCAATATCCACAGGTTTATAAAATCAAGCACCTAGGCATGCAGATGCTTCTACAAACACCAAAGAATGGGTTGCTCTGTGGAGCTTAGTAAATTCATGCATGGTACTGTGATAGGTAAATCCATAGATGAAACTTCCTCACTACTAAATGTTCCACGGTCAACTTTTGTTTTTTTCTTTTAACAAACATAAAGCAATTGGGAACAACAGCAGTTGTGCACAGGTGGGAAAATTTCTATGGAGTCAACAGCTTCAGAACTTCGTGTGGTCTTCAAATCAGTTCAAGAACAATGCTTAGAGAGCTTCATGAAATGGGTTTCCATGGCCAAGCAGCTGAATCCAAGCCTTACTTCACTATGTGCAATTTAATGCTTGGGATGCAATGGGTCTCAAACTTAGTACCTGGAGGGCCACAGCTCTGCACAGTTTTGCTCCAATAATAATCAAATACAGCTGATCCAAGGTATTCAAGACTACTACGCTGCGTCCGAAATTGCTTAGTAAGCAATCCAGAGTGGGCGGGGGGGGGGGGGGGGGGGGTGCGCAACATAACTGAAGAACAGTGGGGGCCTGTGCGTGGAATGTATCTGAAGAGCGGTTGGGGCGTGTGTGCATGACGTATCTGAAGAAGGGGGTGGTGAGTTGCGCGAGACGTACATAAAGAGCGGGGAGGGATGCTGTTGAGAGGGGTGCGCAATGCATTTAAGGACCGGGCGGGAGATGCACGATTTTCGGGAGATTCATTTGCAGGCATCCAGGAGTCTTTATGCATTCGCGGGAGACTCTTGGAACTTACGGGAGAATTGGGATGAATCACGCTACTTTGTTTGTATCTGATCATGGATGAGGTTTGGTGGTTACTAAGAGAATTGTACTTGGCTGACTTCAGTGTTGGGGTATAATTGGTTATTTCATTATGTTTCTTCCTGTTTTTCTATAATGTGTTTTAATTTAGTAAAGTGGGTTCAAAAAGTTTTTTATATTTGTAAACGATGGGCTACTTGCTTTGATAAAATAAATAAATAAATAATAAACTTTATTTTTACATTTATCTTGCCTTCACTTGAATTTTCATGCTTTAACTTCTTCCCTAGTGTTAGGAAAATCAACCAAGCATAAGACTCCAAAATGTCTGATTATCCACTAAAACAAACACTTTTTAATTCTCACTTGGTTGTCTGCTGCTAAACAACTTGCTGTAACATCCAAGCTCATACGTTGCACATATCCTAGCAAACTATTTTGTGTTTAAAATACGTCTAATAGACATCTAAACGTAGACAGCTTGGCTAAAACAAGGTTAAACTTGGCCTGTCAGTAAATATCTAATAGACTTCTAAGAATAGGCCAAAACTAGACCAGTCATTAACTAGACAGATTAGACAGACTATATGTGTAGTCATTAATTTCTGTTTATTTGATGACTAGTCTAGTCTGGCCTATTCTTAGACGTCTATTAGATTTTCACTGACAGCCCAAGTTTAGCCTTGTTTTACCCAAGACAACTATGTTTAGACATGTATTAGACATCTATTAGACATCTTTTAAAAACAAAAAATGCTTTCTGGGATGTGTGCCTTACGTTTTTGGTTGAAAGAAGGTTTCATAAAGCGTTTCGATTTTAAAACGACATTAATCTAGAGGTTTAATTATGTAATGTAGCCTACTTATTGTTTTCTGATGCTGTATCTTGGTTCCATGTCATTAATAACTTGTGGTAATACATCCAGCGCCTCTGCTATGAATTATTAAGTCTTCCCTTTCCAGTAATCTATTAGTGAATAAGTCCTCAACGTTCATGACTGTACATAGTAGCTATTGGTGAACTGGATCTCAAGAAACAGGCTGCTTTCACAATCATGTGGTTTGTGTGGTAGTTGCCAAAATGTTTGCATCTTCCCTGTTCATTTGTCATTATTTTTGGCACCAAGTTGCTCACTTGAGTTCTGTGGTTTACATGAGTAACTTTTACGGACATGCTTGCATCATTTTGAGCGAGGCTGGAACCAGCATGGGAGGAAGCACACTAAACAGTGCAGCTGCCGCCATTCACTATCATGCCTCCTGAAGCCAGGGAAGTGAGATTAACTTGCTCAAATCTTTCTAGCTGACATTAATAAAACTTTCAAACCCTCGCTCACTCCAGTATCAGTTAGTTCAGCTTTTCATCCAAGCAGGATTTCAACCTTCACCTCTAATATGGGAGCAGGACAATTTTACAAGGTTACTAATTAGCGTAACCTCAAATGTCAGCTGCTAATGCACTTTACTGGACCAGGCGAGTAAGGTTTAATCGCACAGCTCCTACTAGCTGGTAGCCTAACCACTTAAAGTACCTTACACCCCTCTAGGTCACAGCAACAATCGTTGTCCTTTGGTTGGACTTGCTTGCCTCTAATGTCATTGGGATATGGGATACATAATAGCAAGATACACAAGATAGCAGCAAATCTATGCATCTTTTGTGGCCAAGGAAGAGAGGTTTACTCAGTAGGTCTCCTACTAGGTAGTGTCCTATACACCTCCCTAAACTGCACTCCTTTCTGGGGTTTGGCAACAATCTCACCCCTGTCGTTCTACCTGGCCTGTCTAGTGCACTGGCAAAGTTTCCTCAGTTACTACTAGCTGGCCTCTTTTCTACAATCATCTCCTCCTACATCCGGGTCATGGCACCAATATAACCCCAACCATTGACCTTCATTCTAGCAAATTTCTTACCAACATTGGAGTTGGACATACTAACAAGGTTTCCTTCTGACTGGTCTCCATTACACTGCATAGAAGAACATGGTTAGGAATGAAAGTTAGTCACAAATCATCCATTAACAATGTCTTCTGATGACCGTGCTTTTATTTTTGGTTCTTGGCACCACTCGACACATTCATGCAGTCTTTTCAGGCTTCCTAAAAAGTCCCTTCATCGCTACTGAAGGTCTCACTGGGGGAGGCTGTGGTAGATCTTGCTCTGGATGCTGGAGCTGTGTTTAATGTCTTCAGCCTTAAGCTCTTGGGAGCTTTGAGCTGTGGTCTTCACTGCTTCTCTGGGGAAGCAGCAGCGGAACAGAGCCCGGATGTGGTGGAAGACCGCCTTACGGAAGATGATGAAGATCCAAGGGTCCAAGATGGGGTTAAACGCAGAGAAGCGGAAAGCCGTTAGATTCCGCTGATCATTCCCAACTGGACTAATGGCATTCTCAAAGCCACAGATCTGTTGGGAGAAAGAGAGAGAGATATTAGAAGAGTTGGAGATCAACATAAAGGCATTATTTACAGGATTGCCAAATGTCTAGGATGAAGCACACTAAACAGCTGCCATCATTCACCATCATGCCTCCTGAGGCCAGGAAAGTGAAGTTTACTTGCTCAACTCTTTCTAGATGGCATTAATAACACTTTCAAAACCTCGCTCACACCGGTACCAGTTTAGTTCAGCTTTCCATGCAAGCAGGATTTGAACCTTTACCTCTAGCATGGGAGCGGGACAATTTTACAAGGTTGGAGATGAACATAAAGAGATTATTTCCAGGCTTGCCAAATGTCACCTGTCAAACACAACTGGAACATAATCACGATTACTATTATATGCAGTTTGTTCTCTATGTTATGCCATACACCCAAACAGCTGGGAACACTTGGATCAATTAGTGCAATTGAAACTGTCATCAGAATGGAAAACAAATTGTGAAAGTTTCAGATGTTCACAAGTCTCTGAAGTCAAGTCTCAAGCTGTGTTTTTGTGATAAGTCCAGATGAATCATAAAGTTCATTTCGTTAATAGCTTTGCAAATGTGCAATAGAAGTAAAACAAGGATGATATTTATTTTTTTATCCTTATTTTACAAGGGATTTTCCATTGAGATATGCATCTCTTCTACCAAGGAGTCCTGGCCAAAGTGGCAGCACAAAAAGTGTCAGATAAAAATTAGACACATATAAAGTATCAGATATTTAAATTTACACAAAACGTTCACGTGATTCTTCCATATAAAAGTTCAAAAGATTTGTAAATACGCTTAGAGATGGAATTGTTTCTAAAATGATAACACTCTGCATTTCATTCTATATTGTAAAATGCAGAACACATAGTCGAGCCATAATATACAGTCAGGCCTGAAATTATTTATAGCCCAGGTTTATGACTTATGATAATTTTGGGCTTGACTGTATTAAAATGTGGATATTATTCAAACATAAAGCACCTATATTTGAACTGTAGCAATAATATTTAGAAAAGGAGTGTCTGTTTGTATTGAATTCATTTACTGCATAATATAGGCCAAACATGAAAAAAAGGTTTTTCAATCATCAAGACTTTACAAGTCTTAGGAATTCTTTTTTTTTTCCCACAACGTGTACTGTAATTTTACATCTTTTATGAGCAAAAACAATAAGAATAAAAATAATGACAAGAATCATATTCTGATTATAGAAGGCACCTGCTAAAATTTCGTTGTGTAAATTCTTTTACATACATATGCATATATACAATAGTATACACACCCAAATATTGGCAGGTATATATAGAGCAAGAATTATTTTTTTTGGCATAATGTAAGACTTTAAGTTTAAAAATTCCCCAAATTCTCACTTATTATATACATATATATATATAATAAAAGTAAGAATTATTAGCCCCCTGAATTATTCACCCCCCTGTTTATTTTTCCCCCAATTTCTGTTTAACGGAGAGCAGATTTCTTTCAACACATTTCTAAACATAATAGTTTTATTAACTCTTTTCTATTAACTGATTCATTATATCTTTGCCATGACGACAGTAAATAATATTTGACTAGATATTTTTCAAAACACTTCTACTCAGCTTAAAGTGACATTTAAAGACTTAACTAGGTCATTTAGGGTAACTAGGCAGGTTAGGGTAATTAGGCAAGTTATTATATAACGATGGTTTGTTCTGTAGACAATCTAATTGAATATAGATTAAGGGGGCTATTAATTTTGTCCATAGAATAGGTCATAAAAAATTGAAAGCTGCTTTTATTCCAACCGAAATAAAACAAATAAGACTTTCTCCAGAAGAAAAAATATTATCAGATATACTGTGAACAGTTTCTTGCTCTGTGAAACATCATTTGGGAAATATTTAAAAAAAGAGAAAAAATCAAAAGGGGGCTAATAATTCTGACTCCAACTGTGTGTGTGTGTGTGTATATATATATATATATATATATATATATATATATATATATATATATATATATATATATATATATATACCGAGTGCCACTCTGGTCAGCTACAAACAGGAAACTGAGGCTCCAATTCGCACAGGCTCAATAAAATTGGACAATAGAAGATTGGAAAAACATTGCCTGGTCTGATGAGTCTCAGTTTCTGCTGCCACATTCGAATAGTAGGGTCAAAATGTGGCATCAGGCTGCTGGTGGTGGTGTAATGGTGTGAGGGATATTTTCTTTGCACACTTCGGTCCCATTAGCACAAATTGAGCACTGTGTCAATGCCACAGTTTACCTGAGTATTGTAGCTGACCATGTCTATCCCTTTATGACCACAGTGTACCATCTTCATATGGCTACTTCCAGCAGGATAACGCACCATGTCATAAAGCACAAATCATCTCAAACTGGTTTCTTGAACATGACAATGAGTTCATTACTTTACTCAAATGGCACCTTTGAGATGTGTTGGAACGAGAGATTCGCATTATGGATGTGCATCCGACAAATCTGCAGCAACTGCGTGATGCTATCATGCCAACATGGACCAAAATCTCCAAAAAGGAATATTTGGACCATAAAGGAATATTTCCAGTACTTCGCTGAATCTAAGTCACGAAGGATTAAGGCAGTTCTGAAAGCAAGAGTGGGTCCAACCTGGTTCTAGTAATGTGTACCTAATAAAGTGGCCATTGAATGTATATCCTGAGTAATTAACAGGAAAAACAAATTTATACGAGAATATAAATATGCAAACACTTTACAGAAAAATGTAACTTTTTTTTTTCTTTAAAAATACAAAATATAAGCAACCACAGAATTGGCAACACTGCCAGTCTCCCATGGAGAATCTTTCTCAGCCTCTTAATAGTAAAAATAATATTTTTTTCATGGTACACATTTCATACCACCCAGCCTATTCAATAATAACATATACATACTTTAATCTCAGATGTATTTTAGCTCCACATAAACACACTCTCACTGTATAGCATGTTGTTGTTTTTTTTTGGACAGGGTGGACATTTCAAATGGTATGTGCTTGAAGTGTCCTTTATTGTTGGCAAAAGTCTCAGACTATTGTTGTCTGAAAATGTTTTCTGAATGAAACATACGGCAGAATAAATATATAATTATAACCACATGATTTCACTGCGTTTGTTTTGCAGCATGGTTTTTGCTGTCTGGATGTGTCAAAAGGACTCGTTTTCAAGACAAAACAGGTTTTGAGTGAACCCACAGAAATTCTCTCTCTGAAAAAAAAGCTGTGAATTATCAGTTCCAGATTCTCTGCAATAAATTTTCAACAAATTAGGTTTCGGATTCTGGAAACACACGTCTATTGCGATAATTTGTACATCCTACAATCCTAGACTATGACTTTAGTTGCGGGGAAACGATTGAACTGTAGAGCATCCCATTCCACTTTTCTCAAGAGCACCAGTTCCCGCAATTTCACCAGATATAAGCAGCAGGCGGTAAACTTTTGGCATCAGACTTGTTTTGTACATGTTCAATGTTTGGAAGAAGAAAAAGCTCAGATATGGTTTATGTTCATCATAAGTGTAAATTAAGATTCAGATTATTGATTTCTTGTTACTTAAAAAAAAAGACACACCCAATTCCTATTAAATTCACCTTAGCTTAGGTACAAAAATAATTCAAAACAAATTTATGGAACATAAGAACAGATTTTGTTTTGTAATATGAGTCTCACACAACATACAACCGGAAATAAACCCAAAACACACATAATACAGAAACTGTTTATTTTTACAGTGCACACCATACTGTAAAAGATATGGATGTAGTATCGTGACGTCACCCATAGATTTCTGAAGAGCTCAAAGGAAGCTACAAGTGGGCGTGGCCAACCAGCACCCATTTGTTTGCTCGTTATCGCTCCAACCGGGGGTAACCAAATAAGGGCAAAGAGGCGGAGCGTGAGCAGAGCTACATACACCTGCTAGCATTTTGCTTAGACAGGCGTTTCTTTGGGAGAAATGTTTTATACCTCATTACCTGCGACTCGTTTGTGTTCTGACCACTTGTGCTTGGTCTTAGTGTTAAGTCTTTTTAAAACATTATTGTAATGCATTGAGACACTAAACATTGTTTTTATGACATTTTTCTACAGGAGGAAAACGTGAAGTTCTTCCAAATACAAATATAGTGTGTGTTAGTAAGGCTGTTTATGAAATCCAGGCATGTATGATTCCCCCTATGTGTAAAGCGCTTTGAGTGCCTAGAAAAGTGCTATAAATGTGAGGAATTATTTTTGTAATTATTATGACAACATTTCAGATATGTGGGCTTATAATAGGCTACTTTCGTGGCTTTTGTTGGCTCATAAATTAAACAAAAAATAGCTCACGCACAAGATCGGATTTGGATCAGTACTCGATACCCGATCCAGCAAAAATATGCAGTATTGAACCAACATTCGATCCAAGTATCGTTGAACATCATTTGGGAAATATTTGAAAAAGAAGAAAAAAACTCACTGGAAGGATAATATAATAAATAAATAACCTTTACTTTATACTTATGATTTTAAACATGGGAGTCAACCATCAATCAGGAAAAATCATCTTTAGAAATTGAAGTGGCCCTCTGAACCTTTGGTTTTTATTTATTTATTTATTTTTTTACCACAGGGAAACAGATTCATTGCATTTTAAAAAAATCTTGCCAATTAATTTAATTTCTCTCCTATCTGGCTTCAGTCCTGATGAAAAATCAATATTAGACACTGAAGTATCAGGCAATATTTGTGGTCCAGATGCTGCCTTCCTCGTAGCGAGACAGCATTTTGCTTCGGGGCTTAAATACACACAGTTGGATGGATGACAAGTGTGATTGTGAAATACTTGATGATTTTTTTTAGGCTGTACTTTCAGATAGCACCTGTGTGTACTCAAAAGTAACAGGTTGTTCCAAAATTCTAGGTTGTGCAAAACATTAAACATATAATTAACAGCAAAACAATGATATACAAGGCACTCCTTGG